ATATGTTTGCGGTTTATTTATTTATGCAATACATACTCCATGTCTTATATTGAGGTAGTGTGGTTCGAAGAGTTTCGAACAGAAAGATCACCTATCGGTTCCTTATAAGATTAAACTATTCGTTCACAGTCTAGACTGGCAGTGAGACCCAACTTGGAAAAAGACTGTAGTGTATTCTTGATTCAGTTGGTCTTTGACTGAAGGATTACACTAGCACTTATGTTAAGTGTTGAACAGGACCACGGAAGGATAAGAATATGAGACTCACTGACCGTTATCGTAACCTAGACCTTCAGTGATTGATGCGTTCTCTTAAGCTGTAAGATAATATAAAATAGGCATATATTATTATTTCTTATTTATTTGATTTACCAAGTGATTCCTATTTTAATAGGATGACATACGAGGTATTTTGGTAAGTCAGAATAATTATATGATGTGCTATTATAAATTATTTACGGTTACTATGTTCCAGTGTGCTGGATTGATGACGTCCCCGAAATGAGCTCAGGAGGGAACATTATGTCAAAACCCTGCTGGTAGACGATTGTCTGACATAATGGTTAAGGTCTGAGTGGTACTAATTTCAGAAATGAATAAGAAGTTGATTAATTATTTTTTCAGTAATTTAATTAATCAACGGACGTTATATCTTAAACATAGGGAGGTAAATCGATCAATCGGATTAATATTATTTAATCATGAAGGCTCGATTTTATTGGTAAAATAGTGGCTATGGGGAGAACAATAATATTACTCTAGTGGGATGTTTTATTATTTAATTCCATTAAATAGGAATTAATTTTATTCCATATTAATTAATTAATTACGAGAATAAAATTCCTACTAGAATCTTCTCTTGGGATTAGGAGACTTGAGAGTCTTCTAGAAGATGGAGATTAGTGGGAAATATATTTCATACATTATATTATTAATTGGAGTAAAATTAGGTTTCCTAAATTAGAAATTAATTCTATTCCATGATTATTAATTTAATTAGGAAAGATATTCCTACAAGGATCTTCTCTAGTGTTAGGAGACTTAGGGGTCTTCTAGAAGGAGGAGATTAGTAGGAGATTTCCTTCCTACATTAAATTAGTAATGGAGTGGAATTAGGATTCCTAGGCCTAATGGAATAAGCCCATATTTAGCACCTCCTTAAGGTCCCTAATAGAGCCTATAAATACACCATGTCCCAACCTCTCCTACATGTTATGTTGGCCAATTTTTCTCATCTACATACACGTGAGAAATAGCATCATTCGAGAGTTAGTGAGATTTGATTAAACGCTCCACCAAGTTTAATCGAAGTAGGAGTTTAGTCCGTTAGAAGGCTTTTGGGTAAAATTTATTCGAGCCTTTATATATATATTTTCCGGTCATCATCATCACTTTGTCGCCGCCGTTCGCCGCCGTTGACAACCGCC